TGGTGTGAAGCAAGAATTTGCATGTCTAAGAAATTCTCAAATGATGCTAAAGTTGCTGGTCCAGGGATTATAGTTTAAGAATCATCAGTTTAGAATAAGCCTTCCTAGATTCTGGTCTATCTTCATTCATTGATTCAGGAGACACTGCTGGAGTGCCTACTATGTGTGAAACTTATTTCTAGCTCTAAGGATAAAGCTGTAATCCAAACGGACAAAATCTCTGCCCTCGCAGAGTTCATTATTTAGGAGGAAAAAATGACCAGAAGTAAAAATGACCAGAAGAAGAGATCCAGAGAAAGGAAAAAAAAGTGAAAACAGGCAGATGGAGGGATTCTGTTTTGCTAATGTGGATATCTAGGTGAAGAGAGTTCCAAAGAGGAAGTACAAAGGCTCTGAGGCAGAAACGTGTTCATTGTGCTCAAAGGAAAGCAAGGAGTCTAGTGGCAGAAGGAGGGTGTGCAAGGGGGAGAGTGGTAGGAGATGATATTCAGATTTAATAAGAATCTGCATTTTAAAAAGCCACCCAGGAGATTCCAATACGCATCCGGGTCTGGAAATGACTTCTCAGATGCACATATTTCAGAAGCTCATCCGACTTCTCTTAGTTCTCATCGACACTGTTTCAGTATGTCATCTGAGGGTAGACACATCTCTAGCACATGAAACAAAGGATGCATCCTCATAGGGTAAGGCTTATTGGGCATGCCCAGGGACTGAGCTCTGCGTGATTTTTTATTCAAAGAAATCATTTCCTTCTCTTAAACAAGAGCCTGAGCCACTTTATATATTGAGTGTGAAAATGAAGGAAAACAGCTGAATCCAAAGAGGAAGGAGTAGCTCTTGGTAACAGACAAAATATGAAGGGCAAAAGAGAGATAGAATGGATATACATGGCTATAAATGAGGATTTAGAGAAGGAATGGAGAGATAATAAGACTTGGGAAAAAGATAATGGCTGTACACAAACAAGTGGCAAATGAAGCCCTCAAATTAAATGTTTCCTGAAGAAGTAAACATGGAGAAGGGAATGTTAGGACTAAACTGGGTGGGGAGAGATGACCAGGAAAGGAAGAAGAGATATGGAATCAACAGCAGAGTACAAGAAAAGTACAACACCCCACCAGGCTGTTGCCCCAAATTACTGTTTCTGTCAGAGCTGCAGCAAACACAAAATGGGCAAAGGTCAGTTCTGTCCTTCAAGCACATGGGTATGTAACCAGCTAGCTTTGTGAAAGGGATCCCCCATTATGCAGAATATTTTATCCCATAAATAAGTCAGGCTCAATTATTTTATATCAAAACAATATCTTAGCTTTTAACGAGCATAACTGCCAATACCCAGAGTCACACATTATAAATCACTATTTGCTCCTTCCTACACTTTCTAATTTCCTGCTAAGGAGACAGGGCTGAACGGGGTCATTAATCTGAATTAGAAACACTGTGACCTGCTCTGCACTTCGCTTGCTAACACTGTGTGGCAGAGCTGGATCTGTGGGGGTTTTACTTTCCATACAGTTCTGAGTAAGAGGTAGAGTGTAAGTGGGAAGGAGCTGGTGAGTGCTGAGCTAGTTTTAACTTTCAAGGCCTTTTTAATTCCAGAAGTCATTTGGGCATCTCATGTTGGACTTTGAAATTATTGCTATTATTTCAGTGCTTTAACTGGGACTTTGGTCAAATGACAAGATTTGTTCAGCCTCTGTCTGGAACTCTAGAATGTTCCCCTAAGCAGCTTAAAATAATGCGACCCCTTTATAAGAAAAGGGGGACTTGTGTATTTTTCTGGCTGAATTGACATAACTTGGTAGATTTTCACTGGTGGTGCCATGAAGGGAAAAATCTGAATAAAGCAGGAGCATCTGCGAAGCAGTTAGCTCAATAAGTCCCTCTTACCACTGCCTTACAATGAATGGTCTTTGGAAAAACATAACTACGAAGCCATCATTTACATCTTTCAGACATTTATATCATTTGCATTAACTACTTACCATGTGGGCTGGGAAAATATACAGACAGAAAACCCAAGTTTATTAATTTACCTTCTCCTTTAGGACTTTGATGGAATTTCTGGGGCTAATGGGACTTGGGGATTATTTCAGAAGCACAACAGCCTTATTCTTCCCACTCTCCCGAAACAGAGGCACAGATGACAGCAGACATCTAGTGCAGCAACCTTGGGCCAAAAAGATGTCCTTTTTTGACTTACCCCACCCTGCTCAGAACCCTGATTGGTCGTAGCCATTACTGCTAACAATATTACCAGTAGAAACGCACTAGAAACAAAAGTGGATTCTGAAGGGGTTGGATAAATTCCAGCAGGCAAGTCTGTCAGGGTGTGTCTGCAGGTGCAGCCCTAACCTTCTGAGGTCATTAAGGAGAACAGTTATATTCCTTTAAGTCACATTGGGCCTCTCGCAGACCCAGAATGCAGAGCTAAAGGAACTATGGGTCTGAACTAAGGGTCATTCATTTGTCTGTCCTATCTGTGGGTCCCACCATAATTCCAGACCTTGGAAGCTGGGAGGATAGGACCCTCAAATTTCCTTTATGCTTGTGCTTAAAAAATGTTCCCTCTGTTTCATCTCCTGCCTCCCACACCCCCTTGCATGATCCTGGGTGGTCCTTGAAACAGTCCCAACTGGCACTTTGCCCTGAACCTCTCGAGCTAGCTAGCATCCCACTCCCCCCTCCACGTGCCCCACCTCCTCCTGAGAGACCCAGAGGTGACTGCAGCCAACCTGCTTCAGAGCCTTGGGCTTTGGGGGGTTTGTGGCTGCTCTAGGGCTATGGAAAGTTCTAGTAATTTTCTGTGATCACAACCCCAGAGTCCCCAGTCAGTGTAATTATAAGTCAATCACTTCCCTTCCAACTCCCACTCCTCTTCCCTTTGGGCAGGTAAAATCATTACCATGGTTCCTTTCTCCCTTCAGTCAGATATTTGCACAGGCCATTTGCTTCTGTCTCATGAGTCTTCTGAACTGAATGTTATTTGGAGAAGAGGGGGTGTACTTATTTATCTAACTCAGAACGACAGAAGGCCTGTCTGTCATCGATTTCCCCACCCTCCATAGCCTAAGGTACCCTTTGTTTTCCTAAGTGTGAGTGCAGGGCAAAGCCCTGGGGTGCCCCCCGACATGCAGCCCTCAGCCCACCACAGCCTGGCTTGGAGACACCCTGGAGTGTAACAGGGCCAGTAACACTCTCTCCTCAAGGGAGGCACTGGGGGCAGGACAGGGAGAGAGAAGGCTTTTTGTGTATTGAGAAATGTGAAGAATCCCTTCGAAACAAGGCAAAATTTCCCTCACTATACTAACTAGAAGGAAACAAAAGAAAGAAATGCCTTCTTGAATCAGGTAAAGCAGTTCCAAATACAGGATGGTCATTTATGAGTTAGTTAAATCAGAATCCAGAGAGAGCACTGTTTAAATTCTCCGCAGGACACCTCTAACCTCCTTTCCACTCCCTGCTCCACCAGTGATGCCACCAAACAACCCCGCAGAAAGTGTTCGTCCTAAGGCTCTTCATGAGGTAGAAGGGGTCCCTGCCTCGGCCTGAATCCCGCCTAGAGTTCAGGCCTGGGGAAGTTCTAACCCTGGACGGCCCTTCACCTCTGAAACGTTAAAATTCCCCATCATGTGCATTTCCAAGCTTCTGGATTTGCAGTCTTCCTTTTCTGAGGACACGATTTTGTGGTGGAACTTAGAGTCAGATTCATTGTCCATTCCTGCCCCTACGGCGCATACTTTAGAGGCCTTGTTGCATTTTTAATTATGTAGTTTAGCTGCTGTCAGCATTTCCACAATCATTTCTCATGCTCTTTCCTTTGGCTTTTTATAATATAGCAGCAATTCTCTAAAGAGGATGTCAATACAGCAACATAAAGCAGGAGAGCATGGTCCCAGAGTCTGGGGGACCTGGGTTCAAATCCCAAGTCAGCAACATATTAGCTGCGTGGCCTTGGGGAAGTTACTCAACCTTCCTAAATTCTAGTGTCTTCTTTAATAAAATGGGAGTGATAGCAATGCCCACCTCATGGAATAGTCTTGAAGATTAAATAAGATAATAAACAGAAATACTTACCCTGGGTCTAGAGCAGCACAGTTCAATAGAGAGATAATGTGAGCCACATATGTAATTTTAAATTTTCTAATAGCTTCATTCTTTAAAAAGGAAGAGAAACAGGTGAACTTAATTTACTTATATATTACAAAATACTATCATTACAAAACATCAGTATAAAATATATAAATTAGATATCTTTAAACTCTTTTTGTTGGACTAAATCTTTTTGAAATCTTAAATGTATTTTATACAACTCATTGTGGACATACCAAGCACTTATGGATAATGGTTTCAATATGGGGCAGCACAGGTCTACAATATGGTAAATATTTAGTAAAGACAAGTTCTTTTCACTAAGACTTTGTCTTTCCAGGGTTTGGAGTTTAGAGATATTTGGAAGTGAATTCTAAAATCCCCTTTAACCCCAGTGCTTGAAAGGCTGTTTTTGAGTGTCCGTGCTGGTCTTTTCTGCAGGAGAACAAGCAAGGACTTGGTGCCCAGCTACCTGTGCACAGGTAGAGAATTCTGCGGATTTTCTGTTCCACTATCCTGATCCTGCCAACGGGCAGATGCTGCTACCATCTTGACTTCTTGGAACTCTACAGCTCAGAGTTGCAGGGACCCTCAGTGGTCTGATAATCTCTTTTCAGATGCTTGAGCACCTTACACAATGTACATGCCAATCCCTCAGCTTCTTCTTGAGCCCACAAATATGATCAGCTCAACACCCCTGGGAATACCTACTTCGCTTTCAGATGCCTTTGATCATAAGAAAACTCCTCCTTTAGAAACTCGTCCTTCTTCTTTCCACCTTCTCTACTCATTGGTCCTAAAGCAAAGCACTGGAGAGAAATAAGTCAAAACCATCTTCTGTGTCACAACTCTACCGGTAGTTGAAGTTGGCTTTCAGGTACCTTCTAGGTCCTATTTGTAGCAAGGATAAACAGATGCAATTTTTTCCATGGTTGCTCGTATGAAACAGTGTAAAACCCCCTCTCCATACTATGTGTATGTATTAGTTGTTATGTGTCCTTTGCAAAGTGCAGCCTCCAAAACTAAACATAAAAATATGCCGTGTGGCCTTGGACACAAATGTTCCTGATTATGGGCAACCTCACACCACTGCTGTCTTTGTCACAGCCACACTGTACCCTCAGCACCTGGTGGCAGGCAGCCCCTGCCCAGATGAGGCCTTGTATGCCCAGCTCCATGCCAGATGCCAGGCACTCTCTACCTACCAGCTAGAATGTCACTCTGATACCGGCTTCTCTCCCTTTCAGCCGATATGCAAGGAGGGCCAGGAGCACAAGTGCCACTTGCCAGCGTCTGTCTGTGAGCCCTTTCTAGCTCTTTCACAGCTTCGCACACAGAGGCGGGGATCTGAAGCTGCTTTGGTGGGGCCTTTCTCTGGGGGATTAAGGTCGCACCCCCTGTACCGCTCTGGCAGTGGGAAAGCCTTGATCGGCTTTCCCCTTGTGTGATATGGAGATTCCTGCTTTGCCAGGAGCTCAGCACTGGGGCTGCGGGTTTGGCCCCTCCTCTTTGGGGTCTCTAGATGTTTTTCTGCCTCCAATTAACTTCACAGCAAATTCCCATTAAGTCCCAGTTCAAAAGAGTGGGGCAAGCAATATGTGGGGATGTTGGGTGGAGCGAAACACCCTTCTCCAGAGACAGGGAAGGAAAGGAGCAGCTGCAAGGGAAGATTAAGCTCAGCCTCGCTCCCATTAATCAATAAATCAGTCAATCTTTATTGAGCTCCTCTGCCTGCACATGCTCATTAGCCAGCATGGACCCAAGAGTAACAGCTCTGATTCTAGGACTTGAGGGAGAGGAAGAGGCCTCTGGTCAAAATAGTTTCACCTCACAAAGGTCAGTGGTTTCCCTGTAAGGTCATTAGCTAATTCATGCTAACGTGTTAATGACTTATAAGCTTTCATTTTTTTTTCTAAAGGTCAGGGAGGGGGACTTGGCTTTTCTAAAGGCTGGGTAGGAACCACCTAAAAGAGTAAAGGATGGAGAAGTAAAAGCTAAAGGCGAATGTCTCTTGCCATTTTCCCTAGGGCTTGGGATGCTGAATTTTAATTAGGATCAGGACAGAAGGTAGGAACAGGGCTCTAGTGACAGTACTACTTTTATTCTCTGGCTCTTCCCCTCACCAAATGTGACCTCTAGCTGGTTTCTTAGCCTCTCAAGCCTCTGCTTCCTAACCAGTATAAAGGGAGTATCCTCCAAACAGACCTGGGAAAATAAAAGCACTTAGTACCGCTCTCCGTTTAAAACAAAACAAAATAAAACAAAAAACACAGTAGTTACTTTTATTTATATTGAATTAAACCCAGACTGACAAGAGCTATGACTTTCACAAAAGTGGATGGATGGTGAATTTTCCCTGGCCTTCACCTATAACAGTTCCCGTCATCCAGGCCTCATTTGGTAGACTTTTATGACATTGTCATTTGTAAATTTTTTGGATATTCATTTCCCGTTCATTTATATATCCTCCTAGGTTGCTTCTTAATTAATGAGTCTCGCAAGTTTACTGTTCTAAAATCACCTCCCTGAAAGCTAATCAGGGTCAGACCTGGTTAGTACTTGGATGGGAGACCACCTAGGAAGACCGAGTGCTATAGGCGTAAAAAATAAAAAAATGAAAAAACAAAGGGTTGTAAGCTGACAAGGTCTTTGCAGTCTGTGAGGTAAACCAAGGGTCACCTCACCTAAAAAATAAAAATAAAAATAAAAAATAAATAAATAAAATCACCTCCCTGAAATGTCAAAGGCAGCCTCTTCAGCCCAGTGTTTTATATTTTGGGATTTGGAGACTAAACTTCTTTTCCTTTTGATTCATAATTTTATAGATTCTGCCCATGCCTTAACTCAGGCTTTTCCCTCTGTAGAGCCTACTGTATGTCTTTATGCCACAGTCTTGCCTGCTTCACATCATTCAATCATTCATTCATTCATTCAGCAAACATTTATTGGGTTCTCTCCTTCCCTGAGTGCTGCTGATAAGGGCAGGACCACAAAGATGGTCCCTTTTCTCAGAGTTATTATATACTAGTTGGCAAAAACAGACAAGAAATAGGTAAACAAGCAAATAAATAAAATAATTCCAGTATATATAAATAAGCGTAATGAAGAAAACAAACAGGAGGCTGATATGGAGACCACTAGAGAGAAGGTTGTCCATGTTAAGGAAGAGGTCCCTAGGTTTGAAGGAACTCAAAATGAGACCCTGAGACATTGAAATAGAACTTGGGTAGCTACATCCTAATAAGCTTGGGGTAAACACGTAGGGAGTGTGGGGGTGAAGGGATAGGCCAGATCACAAAGAGCTTCATAGCCCTTCAAAAGGAGCTAAACTTTATTTTAAACTTGTTGAGAAGTTGTGGAAAGGTTTGACTCATGGCAGTAACATAACCTAATGTGTGTTTTGAAAGATTAACTTTGCCATGAAGTAGAACATGGGTTAGATTTGGAAAGAAGAAAACAGTCTGCAGATTTGGAGACCATTGCCTTATCTAAATGAGAGATGATGGTGGCCAGGACCAGTGGAAAGAATTAGACAGATTCCAGGCACATTTCCAGAGTAGAGGAGAAAATTGACAGGATTTGCTGACAGAAGGCCAACAAACAAGTAGGATGAGGGAAAAAATTATCAAGGATGGAGTAGAATGATGGAAAGAATTATCAAGGATAGTTTCTGAGTTTCTCTGTAGAATCGTTGGGTCAGTGTATGAAGATACATTAACGAGAATACAGAAGTCATTAACAAGATACAGAAAAACAAAGCAAAGGGTAGAGAATCAAAGGTCCTATTTCAGACATACATTAATTTTGTGATGTAATTCAGGTGACATGTCATAAAGGTGGATGTATATGTGAGCCAGGAGCTAATAAATCTGACCACACATGAATGTGGAAGTCACAGCATAAAGATGTGCTAGTATTGTGGGATGTGGTAAGGTGCTCACTCTATAAGAATCCTAGCACGGCATAATAATCCATGGAGGTCCATCTGCTCACCTCCCTCCTTCCAAGCATTTCAGTTCCTCTCCAGTGACACAATCCAGTGCTATTGTATTTGTTGAGCAGCCACCAGAGCTGGGCCCACAGATTTCCAGGTCTGACCAGGGGGTCCAGGAAAACAAAAATTGAGAGAAGCTGTACCCACTGCTATTTCCTACAGAACCACACCCTCCCCTTCAGTTCCAAGTAGCTCTGCTCTCCTCTATTGCTCTGGAAGGGGTTGCTTTTCCCCCAAGGCTCATTGCAAATGTTATTATATGTACCATTCATTTGGCAAAATGGCCATCTCAATAGGTACTCAAGTGAATACTTGTTCTGGTTTTAAAAGTGGAGGTAAATGACCATTCCTATCTGTAAAATCTTCTTACTCTGATTGGTACCACATCATTTTGGGTGGATAAATTTACTTTCCATTACTCCTGGATTTTTGAGACAACATATTTTAAGCATTATGTATACGCGTGGCTATGACTCCAAATGAAAGGAAATATGAAGTTTGATAAACACAAGCGAGGGCAAAAGAGACTGGGGCATCTTTTATCCTGTGAATACATTCCCTGTAGGGCCTAGATTTCCACAATGAGGATCTCCTTGAATCCTGAGCTCCCAAAGAGAAACGTTATTTGTGACACCTAGTTTTTTCTAGCTTTTACTTTCTCCTGTTTTAACAACTAAAGGACAGTTGGATTGTTTTCCCTTTCTTATCTACACAAGATTGACTCCAAGGCAAGGTTTAACAAAATTTAAATTTTGTACTTTGTTAAATGTTTCCAGAGGGTGGTAATTTATAAAAGAGATTCTGGTGAACACGTACTTTACGCAAAAAGCACTATACTACTAAACATTCTGAATGCTGTTGTAATTATTCGCCCTATGAAAGTACAAACATTTTGCAGACTCTTTACCTGCTCTCAGCCTAAGGAGAATCAAACAAAGCCACCAGCATATGCCAGGCCAGCAACTTTTTTTCTATTTTAAACTGTACTAGGGAGCTTGAATTTGCATGCTAAAGTAAATGAAACAATTTGATTATATTTGCTGAAACAGGCCATTACTGTGTACCATTTCAGAAGACCACAAAATTTAGCACATGTAATCAAAATGGATTGCCTCCTTCTAACTATGAGAGCATTGAAGAGAAACTATAAAAACCCTGGGTATTATGACAAATTGAGTACTCTTAAGTGAAGCTGGTTAATTTCTTGCTATTATCTTGCTATTATTTGAAAACAGTTTAAATACCATATAAGTCTCAAGTCTTTGTATTTTCCCTGTGAATATGTTACTGCTTCCCTTAGAAAGATTTAAATCTGCATTTATTTAGATGCAGCCAATTTAGAATCTCAGCCAATTAGATATTTTTTAGCTTTTGATGCCAAAAGTATTGTGGGATGTGGTAAGTTGCTTACCCTATAAGAATCTTAGTACATGATGATTTAAATTTTAAGTTATAAGTTTCTAATATATTCATTTTCTAGTTCATATATAAAGAAGATGTGGGTTAAAGAAAGCTTTCTTAATCCTTCTGTATGGGAGTACATGTGCTTAAGCAAGCCAAAAACTAAAACTAGAAATGTTCTCTGACTCCACAAAAACTATGCAGACTATAAGACTGGGAGAGAATTAGAAAACTAACAAGTCGTGATAAGGAAACACTCGATGACCTGGTGTCAGCCTTCTGTGTTGATGCTTGTGTGAACCTTGGTTATGTACAAATCCCTTTTGCTCTCCTGGTTTCTATCTGAGATTTTGGTTAGGAAATCATAATCAAAACATGCAGGTGTCTCAACATAATTGTGGGTTTTTGTTTCAA